CAAATGCTTTCAATCTTCATTCTTTTATTTTAGTTTATACTTCATTATCTTCATTAAATAATTATTCTTTCTTTGGTGGAAAAATCAATGCTATAGCAATTGTTCATTTAATTAATGGAAAAGTTATTCCTAATTGTTTAGGAAATATATGGGTATGTGTTAAAGATTGGTCAGAAGAAGATGGTAGATGTGGGAAATTTAATGTTGGAAAACAAAATGTTACATGGTGTGGTGGAAAATATCATCCAGATCCTCTTCATGATGATGATACTTCAAAATATTTAAAAATCACACTTTAATTTTTAATTCAATTATTTTTTAATAACATTAACATCTCCTGTTAAATTATCTATTTTTAATACTTGTTTCTTATCCATTCCTAAATAAAGATAATATGCTACTGTTCCACTTGAATTTGCTGCTGTTTGTCGAAAAATATAACTAAAATTCTCTTTAGAATATCCTTTAAAAATAATAATTGTTGCTACTTGTGTTTTAAATGATGCATTTAAACTTTTCCATATATGCATATTCACAATAATTGTTGTTTTCAAATGTCTTAATCTTGTAATAATTTCTCCCCATGTTTTATCCGCTTTCATCATTTCAAATGTTGCATCTTCTAATATAATTAATAAATGTTTCTCTCGTGCTTGTTTATAATATTGCACTAATGCTGGCATAAATTTCTCATAATTCATTCCATATATTGGTGTTTTAATTAAATCTTTTAATTGTTTAAATGTTTCATCTTCTCCTGCATTTTGTGCTACATAAATAATAGCTCCATATAAATGTTCTATATGATTCATTTTTATTAATTCTTTCAGTATAAATGTTGTTTTTCCTGTTCCTTGTTTCCCTAATACTATATTCAAACTATTATAATAAAAGAAGATTTGATGATGTACTTTTTGTATTTTATTCCCTTCTTTAATTTCTGATAATTTATCTTCTATCATTTCTTCTATTCTATCTATTCCAATCTCATCTTCTTCTTCTTCATCTTCTATACTATTTTTATCTTGTGGATTTGTTTCAAAATATTCCATTCTAAAAATAATTAGTTCAAAAAAGTATTTAAATTAGATTTATTTCTATTCCCATTGAATAGCATAAAGAAGATTAACTCTTTCTTTTAAAACTCCATTTCTAATCTCTTCATTCATTCGATTCTCATTAATTAATAACATTCGATTTCTTTCTAATTCTTTTCTTAATCTCTCATTTTCTTCAAGTATGTCTATCATTAATTCAATTGCATTATCATTCATTTGTCTTTTAATAAAATGTGTAATCTTTTCTTTATTATTCATTTTATTCTTCTTTGGTTTTATTTCTTCATTTATTGGTTCTGGTGTTGTTGGGCATGGTGGAAGCTCTGGTGCTCCTGTAAAGGAACACATTTGTGTACTGTTGTTATCACTAGCAATTGACATCGTTTGTTTGTCATTAAGTTATTTAAGTTGTATTTATATCATCATTTTTGTGTTTCATTTCCTATTTTTCATTCATTTTTCATTCATAACTCATTCATAACTCATTCATATTTCTATATTTTATTACTTTATTTCTATATTTCTTCATTCCTCAATTATTCTTTGCTTCATACTTATGATTTATTCATTCATCAGGGGTAATAAATAAATTAAAAAACTCAATTTATTTGACTATTTATTCATTATGAATCTCATTATTTTCATTCATTCATGTCTTCCGTAAGAGAATTATTAATGGCGGCTGCTTGCATTGATCTTGATCCTGCAAATCTTCAAGTCGCCTCTTCTCTTTTATCTCAACTTGTTCTTCTTCTTCCATCAATCACAAATGAGAATGAAAAGAGAATACTAAAAAGCGTCTATTGGAAACTTGTATGGCAAATTAATGCTCTTACTGGATGGGGGAAAACCATTAATTAATTCTATTCTTTTTATTATTCTTTATGTTTATTATCATTCAATATTTAATCAAAACTTAATCAAAACTTAAATAAAATAAAAGAGATAAAAAATCATTTAATTATTATTTTATCATTAAGAAATAAATAAAATAAAATTAAATAAATTAAAAAAAAGAATTAATTAAATTAATTAGAGTTCTCTAGTTTTTCTCCTCTCTGGCTTTGACTCTTCTTTCTTCTTCTCGGCGGCATCGAGTCTTCTCTCTCTTTCTTTTCTTTCTTCTTCATCCTTTAATTCTGAAAGAATAATGCTATTATTCTTTTTAAATGCTTTTATATTTTCATACAACTCTTCAATAACTTCTATATGCTTCAAGATGACTAAATTGAAGCATTTTAGGGGGTTGTTCCCGAACGTTAAACGCGTTCCCCCATTTAATAAATGGCATTGTTTACTAATGCTTTCGATGTCATTCAATAAATTGATAAAGTCACTGATTACGATATCTCGTTTATCAATTTCGGTGTCTTCGTCGCTGATAAATCTGTCCTTTCTCATTTTGTTTGTTGTCCCGTACATGAAATTATGTTATGACTATATCTACATGGTCGGGTCATTAAATATTTGTATAGTTTAATATTAATACTATAATATTTATAATACTCGTGTTAATGTCCTGTTACATTGATGTTTCCCGTTTGATTAAGGAAACAAATAGTATAATATAGTGGTATAATAGTACAAAAATGTCATATGCCCTATCATTAATTTATAGTTAATTTATTATTAAATTAATTTCTATTAAATTTAATATATAAAACTATAATAAAATATCAAAAATTGTAATACCCACAATAATGCAAAAAGTGTAAGAAAAATAGAATATTCAAAAAGTGTAAGAGTTATAAAATATCTTTTTATTACTTCAAAAATATCTATAATAAGGAAATTATGAAAATAACGAAGATATAATACTTCAAAATAAGAAAATATCTAAGAATAGTTCAAAAATATCCAACAATCGTTCATTTTAAATGGAATACCTCAAAATATCTGTATCTGTTCTAAAAATATCTGTATCTATTCTAAAAATAAAAATACAAATCTATTTATAGAAAAATGGTATTTTAAAAACAATAATAAAAAAATAAAAATGTTATATAAAACAATAGTAATAAAAATGTTATTTATCCCAAAAGGACCAGATTTTCCCACTGTGTATATATGATGTATCACACTATTGTCAAATTGTACCATAGAAAAATATTATAAAAAGATATAATTATAATTCAATAAATTTAAATTTAAATAAAATGAATAAAAATATTTAAATAGAAAATAAATAAAAAGTAGTTAATTAATAAATGTTAATAGAATTTACTTAAATATGATTAAATAATAATTAATTTGTATTATTTATGAACATTTTGTATGTATTGTTTCTCTTTCTTTATTCTTTTTGTATCAACACCATAAACAAACTTTAATATAATTCATGTTTTGACTTTCCAAGTTATTATATAGTTACGATGGTGTGTTTGAATTAGAAATTGATTTGTTAACATTGAAAAAGATGTAACAATTTATTATGGTTGAATATTACTTACTGTATTATATGAATTGGTATGTATTAATAAAAGAAATTATAAAATATATATGGATGTATTAACCAAGGGAAAGGATATACTAAAGTGTGGGTAAGACTAAAAGAAAATTAAACATAGTAATATAGTGTGAATGAAATAGTCTCTTCTCTCATTCATAAAATTAAGAAAAAAGGAAAAAGAAAATGTTTAAAATTAAGACAGAAAATAAACAAAAGGTTAAAAAGAAGAATTAAGCAGAAGAAGGATGAGAAGACATTAATAAGAAAAAATAAAACAAAGAAGTGATTTTCTCAATTTGCAAGAAAAACATAAATGATAAGTTAAAGAAAAAGATTACTCTTTTTTAATAAGCTCAGGGATGGGATTAGTCTCGGCTAAACTAGGAAGAATATATGAAAAATCTATTAACACTTAATTAAGTAATTTTTATTTTAATTCATTGAGTTAATTCAAATAAGAAATTGTAAGAAATGACAATTCTTGTATAATGATTATTGATAATTTTTAATGGTAGTTTGTATTTATTAAAAGAAATCAAAACATAATTAAAGTATAATTATAAATATATTCGAATATTAATATGTTAGTATGAAGTACTAAAATAAATAAAAGTAATACTATACATTTTTATTATGTTCAAACATTGAATTTAATTGAAAATGATTGAATTGATTATTTTATTTTGGTCTTTTTTTATTCTTCTTGATAAACACAAATTAATAATAGAATATAGGAATAATTAATAAAAGAGTAAGAAAGATGAAATAGAAACAAAAGAATAAGTATTTTGTTCAATGGTTTATGATAATTTTAGAATATACCAAACTAATTTTCAAAGATTTTTGGTAGTAGGCATTTCATATTTTTGTTTACCAAATTTAAAATATTAAAAGACTGAAATAATCCCAAGAAACACAATTTTGTTATAAATAAAATTTGATAAGAAAGGAAAGAAGATATTTAAAGAAAAAAAGAACAGAACTTCAAACAAGAAATCAAAATACATATATGAATACACTAAGTATAAAGTAAGAAATGAAAGACTTAATTAAGAAAGAAGAAGCTAGTAATTAAAAGAAGTGAAAGTAAGAAGAAGTACAAAACAGGGAATATAAAATAGAAAGAAATAAGCAAGAGAAAGTTAAGAGACACTATCAAACAGATAGAGGAGATGAATAAAGAAATATAAAAAGAAAACAAAAACATGTAATTAGGAAATTAAACAAAGTAATGTGAAAGGATAATAATGAAAAGCATCTGATGAGATGACCATTTCTAAGAGTAGAATCTAAATAGAAAAGTAATATGAAATAAAAGGGACATTCAAATGATTAATGTGGTGATCAAATGAATGAAGAAATTAAAAGTAGTTTGAAGTTGTTTTTTTTTGTATTTATTACTTAAGGAAACATTAAGAAACCTTCATGATATACCACAAAGAAATGTCATGAACAACTATCCAAATAAATTATTACCTCGAGTTCATGATCCGAGTGTATGGAATTCACATAATCGAAACATGTTACAATGAAAAGGGATATAAATTGAAAAGGAAGTTGAAGAAAGTAATAAAGAAAATAAACAACTCATAGAAGATAAATCTGTTAATATAAAAATCAAGAAAAGAGAATAACAACAGTAGAAGATAAAGAATAGAAATAAATATAATTGAATAAATTATTTAAAATATTTATGATAAAAATATAAAATAATAAAAAATAAACATAATAATAAGAAGAAATGTATAAAGAATAGAATAATAAATATAGATAGTATCATAATATTAAACAACAAATGGTTATAACGATTATATAATAAATAAAATTGTATTTAATAATTATTTAATATTTTTATTAGTTATTATAAATATAACATTATTTCATTCATTATTTAATTGTTTATTTTATTATTTTCATTTTTATTTATCTTTCTTTATTTGCATTATTCTTTTATTTAGTTATTCTTATTCTTCTTTATTCTTTTATTATCCTTTCTTTTCTAGAAGTATTTATTCTATGATATATTATTTCATTTTTTTAAGTTTTTATTCAATCAATTGTTATTTAATTTATTCTTTTTATTCTTTTTCTTTATCATATTCACTTTCATATTTTTATCATTGTCATATCACTTCTTATTATTTATTTCTTGTTTATTTTATTATTAATATTTATTATTTCATTCTTTCTTATTCTTTTTATTTCTTTTTGTATTTAACTTTCTTTATTTCATGGATTATTTCATCATCATTCTCATTTAGTTTGTATTATATGTTATTTTTATCATTAATTTATGTAACTGAGTGATTGTATAAAGAATAAAATTCAAAGAACATCACATAATATTTAAAACATATTCCAAATAAAGAACCATTTCATATCATTTAGTATGTTAAAAGATGTTGTACAGAAATTGTTATAAACACATTTAGATTATGATTTATTATTTATTCATCTTATTAATTGTATTATTATTTTTATTTTATTTCATTATAATAACCATTTTAACATATTTATTTAACATATTAACTGTATTATGATAGAAAATAACAACATAATGAAATAGAATGAATAATAACATGAAAAATAAACAATAAATAATATAAATAATAGAAGATAAAACAACAGAATAATAAAATAAAGAAGAACAGAATAATGTAAGAATAATATTAATGAAATAAAATGGGAACGAAAATAATCAAAGAAATAATACATCCAAATAATTTACAAAAATGAAAAAAAGATGCAAAATATTTTGTATCATTAGATTTTTCCACTTATTATATTTTGCTCCTAAAATAAATAAAAAGTATGATAAATATACAATCTGTATATATTTATGTTTATATTTTGTGATCACTTGTAGTCATTTTGTATGAAATATTAATGAAATAGATGATTTGATTGATTATATTTAATTATTTTTATTCTTTTTATTCTTTTATTATTATGTTATTTATTATTATGTTATTTATGTATATTATTTCTCTTTATATTTATATTTATTTCTCTGATTATATTATTTATATCATCTGTTTATCTATATATTATTATATTTTTCTTATTTTATGTTTTTTCTATTTATATTATTTAGATTTTATTATTGTTATTCTTTTCTATTTAGTTGTATTTATTTATTTGTTTATTCATCCTTTTTATATTATTATCATTTATATCTATTTTCGATTTATATTTATTCTCTTTTGATTTATATTAATATTAAATTTATCTTTTATACTTTGAATTTATTATTATATCATTGATTATCATTTCTATATTTATTTATCATTTATTCTTATTATTCTTTTGTTTTTTTCTATATTCTATATCATATATTCATATCATTTTCATTTATATTTTATTACTTATTACATGTTATAATAACATAACACATATGATTGATTATATAATAAATATCATGATGAAGTTATACATATAAATAATAAACATAAAATGAATAAAATATTTTCAACAATAAAACAATACAAATTATTTTACATCATTAAATTAGACACTTTTATTGAATATTTCTAATTTTTACAATAAAAATAAACTTTTTATTTCTTCTTTTCTTCTTTTATTATCTATTCTATTTATTACTCTTTATCTTCTTTCTTTTTATATTCTCTATTTTCTACTTTTATTCTTTCTTCATCTTCTTCTGCTTCTTACTTTCTTTTTATTCTTTTTATATTATTTGTTTTTCGTTGTTTTTATATTTCTTTCTTCTATTATTTATCAATTTTATATTCATTTATTCATTCTTTTTATTTCTTTTTTATTAATTCTTGAGTATTGTATATTTCTTTATTATTTCATTTGTGTATTATCAAAATATATGTTTTATTGATTTTGTGTTGAATAAAATATTGAATAATTCAATATTTTCAATGTTAAATATTCATTATTTATTCTGAAATGTTGTGTATATTTATTATATTAAATGAATATGATGAATGAATATCAATATTATTGTTTATTTGATTTTAAAAAATAATAAATGAATATGAAATAATAAATGAAATAAAATAATGAAGACAATGAAATGATAATGAAATAAAATAATCTAATATTGAACAAATCAAATAAAGAATATATTGAATATATTAATAATGTTACATTATTATTTATTATTTCAATTATTAAATATTAATAAATTATTATTCATGAATATTTAATTAATTGATTATTATTTTATAATTTCATTTTATTTAATAAATGAAATGTAAATAATAAATGAATGAATAATAATTTAATATATGAAATAATAAAAAGAAAGATAAATAATAAAGAAATATGATGTATTTAATATATAATATAATTTATTATCAAATATAATAATAATATCAAATGATGAATTATTTTTATTTCAAAATATTTTGCATCATTAAATTTTGCACTTTTTTTATTTGTTGAAATAAAATTTGCATCCTTTATTTTTTTCTTTCTTTTCTTCTTTTATCATCTCTTTTGTTTTATTACACTTTATCTTCTTTCTTTTTATATTCTCTCCTTTCTACTTTTATTCTTTCTTCATCATATCAAACTTTTTACTTTCTTTTTATTCTTTTATATCATTCATTCTCTTCTTTTTCAATTATTTGCTTTTTTTCGTTGCCATTTCATTCTTTTCATTCATTTTTTTTATTTCTTTTTGACTGTTCAACATCATAAGAAAGTAGTTTTCTGTCTTTTCTTTTTTCCTTTTCTCTCAATGAAATTCTATTTCCATTTGTTTACTCATTTTAGAATATCTTATTATATCTATAATTTGTTAATATAATCCATTATCTCTTTTCTTCTCTCTTTCAACTTTATATTTTATCTTCTCCCTTTCTCAGTCATTTTTCTCCATTCTTTCTTCTCTTGTAGATAAGAACAAATATTTCTCATAATCACTTTACTACATACTCTGACAATTTATATGAATTTTATGCTTTGTCTCTTCTTTCTTTACCATCCATTTGTTCATTATATCTTTCATTTTTGATTATTGCTCTTTAATTTTGCTAATTATGCCTGTCAATATTCTTCATTGGATTTAGCCTTATTCTATTCTTCATGGTTATTCTATTCTTTCACACCTATTCATTAATTACTTTCTTCTGTTTCTATTCCTCTTTCATAACTTCATCTCAATATTTCCTTAATTCTTAGCATATCTTCTATTGTATCTCCTTGTTCCTAACAATTCTTTGTTTCTTCTATATATGAACAAATAATTTGCTTTTGACACTCCTTTTTTGTTAAGTACATAAAGAATGAAGTGTTATATAAACCTATCTATTATTAATGAATAACTACTTCAAACAATTAAACAAATATAAAATAATATAAGAAAAGTTCAGAAATATAGAGATGAGATAAATAGAAATTAAATAAATTTTATAAATGATGTGTGGTTTATTCATAAATGAACAATAAGAAATGAAAGAAATAGAAAATGATAATAACATACTAACAATAAGAATGACAGTACAAAACAGACGAATGAAACGTAAAATATATTTATTATATAATGAAGTTAGTTTTGAAGATGTAAAACCACAACAAACACGAAAATTAAATAATATGAAGATGGAAAAATAACAGTGGTGTTAACAGAATAACAACACTAAAGAATGAAAACAAATATACAAAATAAATATCATTACTTAGATTAGCTCATATTCTTTTATTGTAATTATTGATAAAGTACAATAAATTATTAAATAAATTTAAGAAAAAAATAATCATTTAAATTCTTCATTAGAGAATGTTTTAAGGAACTTTTAATTTTAATGTCTAGCTTTAGTGCTCAATCAGAGACTTTCACTCTTATAACCTGGTATATTATCTTGAGTTGTTTCATCAGTTTCTTCTGGAAAGAAATGAGAGAAATAAGACTGAAGATCTTCCTGGTCATAATTATTAAGTAGTTGAAATTGTAAGAGAGTAATGAAAATGATATAAAGTGAAAATACTTTTTTATTTGGATTTAATAATATAAGTTTTAGTGTTGTGTAACACCAATTTTGACATTCAAGAAGTTGTATATTATCAAATATATTTAACTCAACGTCAACACCATCTATCATAATTCCAGATGACTTTTGCCATAATAAATTAATAAACATATTTAGTAATGTTATTGCCTTACATCTCATTTGAGGTGATTTGTGATATACTAAATAAAATAATTGAATCCCATCAGAGATATTCTCTTTAACTTGTGCTAACAAATCAATATTTTGTAATGAAGAAATACAAGTTTGATATTCTTGAATGATTTTCCCTTCTATTTGCATAATTTTATGACTTTAAAAGTTTTAATGAATAACTTAAAAATATAGTAATTTTTATTGGACAATGAACTTTAATCATCAACCACGTTGTTATTACAATTAATATTGCGATTAAATAGTGTTCATTTATATTTACATAGAATGAACTACCCTAAATCGCTATTTCTTTTCGTTTTAAATTGTCCAAACACAATTATCTTTTCATATTATAAAAATTGTGGTTTAATCAAAAAACAATCACAAAGAAATATCCTATAAATAAAAGTAATAATAAAATTATTATAAAAAATATTATAATCAAACTAGAAAAAAAAAACCCTTTAACGAACATAGAAATGAACACTGAAGGAGTTACTGTAGTGGAACAAGAAAAAACATTTAACGAGTTTGAATTAGATGATTTTCTAACACACCAACTAAAGAAAAATAATTTTATTAAACCAACGATTATTCAATCTCAATTTATTCCATTTGCATTAGAAGGGAAAGACATTATTTGTCAAGCAAGAACAGGGAGTGGAAAAACACTCGCATATGTTATTCCTATTTTAAATAATTTATTAGTTAGTCAAGAAGAACAAAGAAGGATTAGAGTTATTATATTAAATCCATCAAGAGAATTATGTTATCAATGCAAAAATGTTATTGACCAATTATTAAAAGGATATTTTGGTATTTCAGTTTTAAACGTTGCGAATGAAAATGGTGTTATTAGTCAAAAAGGAAAAATGAAAAGTATTCCCGATATTATAACAGCTACACCAGCTACATTACTACAATATTTAAAAAAGACTGGAAATAATTTAGATGGAGTAGAAATAAGTGTTTATGATGAAGTTGATTTAATGATAGCATATGGATATGAAAATGATATTAAAGAGCTTAATAAAAAAATACCAAAAGAAAGTGTTAAATGGTTATTAAGTGCAACTATTAATGATGATATAGAAACATTAAAACATTTAATGTTAAAGTCAGCAGTTAAAATAAGAATAGAAGAAGAACAAGTAAGTGTAGAAGAATATATAATTAATTGTGAAAGAAAAGAGGATAAAGCATTAAATTTATATGTATTATTAAAATTAAATATGATTCATGGGAAAGTATTAATATTTGTTAATTCTATTCAAAAATGTTTTTATGTAAAATTATTCCTTGACTTATTTTCTATTCCATCAGTTGTTCTTAATAGTGATTTACCAAGAGATATTAGAATGAATATTATTGAACAATTTAATAATAAAGAATTTAATATTCTTATTGCTACAGATGAAACTACTATTCAAAAGATTATACCAAAAAAACTTCAAGAAGTTAAAGATAAAAATAATATGGAAGAAGTTGGAGATCATTCACATATTATTTCTGAAGGTGATTCAGCTCAAGAAAATTATAGTGTTTCACGTGGTATTGATTTTCAAGATGTAGCATGTGTTATTAATTTTGATTGTCCTATTTCTATTGTTAGTTATACTCATCGTATTGGTCGTACTGGTCGTGCATCGAAAAAAGGTACTGCTATTACTTTTGTTTTAAATGAAGATAAAGATTATATTACTTCAATAAAGAAAGATCATGAAATAAAAGATTTTATTATTGAGCCAAGTGTTGTTGGTGCATTTAAAACAAGAGTTTATGATATGCAAAGAAATGTTACTAAAAATGCATGTAATGATGCTAGAATAAAAGATTATAAAAAGGAAGTTGGTAATGTCGAAGAGCTTAAAAAAAGTGTTGGAAAATTGAATATTAAACACACAGCTGCTTTAGTTGACCAAAGAGCACAACACTTAAAAGATATTCCTGATTATTTATTACCAGATAATGTCGTTCAAAGATTAAGAGGAGTTTTAGATAGAACAAATGAATATGAAGCCAAAGAAACAAAAAGAAATTCAAAATCTAAATCTTCAAAGAAAAGAAGAGAAAGCAAACCAAGAAAAACTTCAAATAAAAAGGGATTTGTCAAAAGAATGACAAGTAAAAAATAAATTTATTATTTTTCTTAATTGAATGATGATTGTTAAATTTGTTTTTTAATGATAAAAGGGTTGACTATTAACTAAAGTTTCTTTTTAACTACATATTTAATAAATATATTTAAAAAGATATTACAATAATAATAATACTCAATTAATTAAAATATTTGATATATTTAATGAATTGATTATGATTAAAATATTATTTTTATTCTTATATAAATTAGTTAAATTATTTTCTTTTTTTTTGTGAAGTAATTTACCTGAAAAACAAAAATTTAAGTAACAATGATAATTCAAAACATTTATTTTTTTTTCAAAATAGACAGACACATATTATAATGGTGTTTATTCACAATATTATTTAAGAAAATATCTAACTAAAACTGTTTTTATATTATATTTTTTAAATAATTCATTTGTAGTTAAATAAAAAGAATTAATTTTTCTTAAATTTTTTTTGTGAAGAAAAACATTTTAGAGTTCAATTATTAATATAACATTTTTCTTATGTCAAATTATTTTGTGTTATTTAATTCACTTTGTGTTTTAGAAGAAAGAACTATAAAATAACAAAAATGGAGAATGATTTTGATAATCCTCTTATAATAAGTTTAGATTCCCAAGTTGTTACATCAAGAAAAACACGATCTCCGAGAAAAAGGATTAATAAGAATGAAAGGTCAACTGGTGTTTTAACTATAAGAGAATTATCTCAGTCTTCTATCAATAAAGAATGTGATGATTCTATTTTCTATGAACCGAAAAATGAAGAAAAAAAAGAAAGTCAATTTAAAACAATACTAAAAAGTAAATTGGGTGATGATGAAAAATATGCTGTAGTTGAATATATGAAAAATCAAATCGATTGTATTACTTTTTGTTTTGTGAGTAAAAGTTGTAAAAAAATTATTTCTGAATTTTCATATAATCCTGTTCCTATTACTACCATTTATCCCTTTTATAACATCACTTCATTAATTAGATATTCATCAAATGATCCAATTATTACTTCACAACAAGTTGAAAGAATTATTTGTACATACCCAGTTTCATATTCTGAAGCTGAAGAATTAGCAAATAATGGTATGGAATGTACAAGAATTAAACTTTCAAGAGAGGATGTTGAATTAAACGGTATAACAATTCCAGAGGAAGTTGATGTTATTGGAGAAAATTGTTTTAGTGAATGTTTTAATCTTCGATTTGTTCCATTTCCACCATCAGTTCATCAATTAGAACGGTTTGCATTTTCACGTTGTAATTCATTAACAACAGTTATTATACCATCTTCAATTACTAATATTGGAGAGGGATGTTTTAATGAATGTTGTCAATTAGAAAGATTATTTTTAAGTTCAGACTTAACAATAATTGGAAATGATTGCTTTAGTGGTTGCACTAAACTAAGTTTTATTAAAGTAGAAGGTGAATCAAAAAAGTTTTTTGGCTTAATACCATATTGGATTGCTCAATTAATAGAAATAGAAAATAATATTCAATGTGTTAATGTTGAATTTACTTCATACGATAGAAAAATTAAGGATGAAATTATTCCTACCACACTTAAAACTCTTGGAGAGTTTTGTTTTTCTAATTCTTTAAATACATCTATTATTATTCCAACAAACATTAGTAAAATAAAAGGAAGTTGTTTCTCAAATTGTTCTAAATTAAAATCAATAATAATACCAAATACTGTTGTTGATTTAGCTTATTCATCATTTTTTAATTGTTCTTCATTAACATCAATTACAATTTCTAATTCTTTAAAAGAATTAAAAGACTCGACTTTCTCTTATTGTTCTTCTTTAGTAAATATATCCCTTCCTACTTCATTAACTAAAATTGAATCACGTTGTTTTTCTTATTGTACTTCATTAAAATCAATAGAATTACCATTAAATGTTGTTGAACTTGGAGATCAATGTTTTTCACATTGTTTGTCTCTTCATCAAATTATTATATCAGACTCTATTACAAAATTAGGTAAAGAATGTTTTTTGTCATGTGAATTACTTGAAAATATATTTCTTCCAAATATTCAATTAATACCCATTTCTTGTTTTGAAAATTGTTCAAATTTACTTGCAATAACTATACCTAATGCATCTAAATTAAGTGCTAAATGTTTTAAAAATTGTATTGAACTTCAAGCTATTGTATGTGATTTTATAAATATTCCTATTAAATGGGAAGAAAGTAGTTTTGAAGGATGTTCTAAAATAAATAAAGAAACATTAACTAACTTAAAAATAAACTATCTAGAACAACACAAGACTCAAAAAAAGAAAAAATAAATATTTATTTGTAGAAGTTACATTATATAAAATTCTTTAGTTAAATTATTTATTATTATTTATTTTATTAAATAACAAATACATTCATTTCTTTTTTTTTAAAAATCATAATCTATCTTTCTTTTGTATCTCTTTGGTAAGAAACTAATTTGTAATTGGTTTTATTGTTTTATGATAATAAAAATAATGTTAAAATTTGTCATATTCAAAAATTATTCCTCAAAAATAGAAGAACTTATAAATCATAAATAAAATAATGTTCAGAGAAAGGCATTTTAATTTTTCAGAACGTTTTGGTGATATAATAGAAGAAGAGGTACGAGATGTTCCCTTTAGTGAATTTGATAGAATTCCTGTATCTTATTGTAACATTACTAACAATAAAATTAATACAAGTACTTTTAATAATGAAATTAGTTTTTTAGCTTCTGTTCAAAAAAGAAGTATTGGACCTTTTGAAATTGCCATTTTAAATGAAGAAAATATTGATAATGTTTTTGATGCTTTTAACAATTTATTAGTCAAAAACTGTACTGATATGATAAGTTCAGCTAGAGACGTTATTGTTCCTTTCATTTTTTGTGAAAACCTTGAAATTGTTGCAAAGTCTCAAATCATTTTGGCTGATTCTAAAAAACCAATTCCAATATTTAGCTATAACCCCGTTAATAATATTAAACTACCAGATGTTTCTGAAACGTATTATCAATACCTAACAAGAATGATTCAAAAAGATAATTTTACTCAATTCAATCAATACCGATTAGCTTTTAACCACAATGATATTCCATCAGTATTTATTAATGCACAAAGATTACTTCAATTATCTTCATTTGAAACTGACTGTATATTAAATTTATTAAAAGACCCATCATCAAATCTCTTAGCTTTTCATTTTATAATAATAAGACCAAAGAATTTGTTATTAGTTGATGTTCTCGAAAGATATATTCTTGATACACTAATTCCCAATCCACAGAATTTACTCGTATCATTTGATGCAAGTAGTGTTGATGAAGACTCTGCTAATAATGAATTTCTTCATCATTGTCTTTCATATATTCATCATTATTTTCCTAAGAGGTTGAAAGTAATAAAGAAATTAATTCCATTGATAAAGACTTTTGATGAACTTATCATTATTAATATTTTCAAGATTTTATTTTCTCAGAGTTATTGTGAGAAGTTTGCTTTTTTATCTCGAGATTGTATTTTAGAAAAGAAAGTTAAAAAGTATAAAACAAAACTAGTAATCATGCTATTAAAATATCAGTGCTTTTCTTCTGAAATTAATCAAAATATCCAAATATTTTGTTTAAATTGTATAAAAGAAATACTTTGTGATGAAAATGAATGTCAGTCTCTCTTAAAGGCAGTTATTCTATTAAAAAGATATGGAATTAATGAAATGTTTAGAAGTAGTTTTGATGATTTAATTGTTTTTATGAAAAGTATAGTTGAAAAAAGTGAGTCTAATAAAGTATTAATAACTCATTATGTTGTATTAGATTTATTAATACAAAGTTTGAATTATTATCAAGACGAAAGAGTATTACCATTATATAATTTAATTGGTAAAAAGATCATAGAACACTTTGACAAAAGCACAGAGAATTTATTTGATTTAATAAAAAATTCCAGTTTATTATTTGTGTTTCCAATGAGTGGGTTTATACCTATTTGTGTTGAATATCTTCAACAACACCAGAATGAATATGATAATATCCCAGTTGAAAGATTAGTAATGACAAATGTTAAGAACATGGAAAGATATGAATTTGTAAATAAATTTATGATGCAGTGTTTTGAGAATTTAAATACAAATTGTTGTAATTTCACTAAAGTGAAAGAAATGTTTCTACTTTCATTAACTCCATCAAGTTGTATTCAATTTATAAAAATTTATAATACCCAATTTAAAAGAGAGTTACTTGAAATTGCAATTGAATCTGCAAATAGAAATATTCAATTTATTGAAGACAATGATATTGTATCGTTAAAACGATACTACAAAATATTTTTTGAACTTCATTTAATCTTTGCTAAAGCACCTAAATCAGAACAAACCAGGGTAATTCCAGCATTAAAAGTATGTACTGTTTTATTCAAGTATATTAGAATTCTTTATAATGATATTAAAGACTTACCAGAAAATGAACAAAAACAAATCTTATCTTCTTTTATTCAATTTGATATTAGAAATAATTGTAAAAATATAAAATGTAGTAAAATTGTTTATTCAAATAAAATTAAGGCTTTTCATTCGGTTATTATTGCATTAATTAAAGATACAATAAGTGGCTTTGATGAGCAAGGATTAATTTCAATTATTAAAAAGAAATATATTGAGCCAAGTGACTGGATTCTTTTTTATTTATTTAATTGTGTTGATAGAGAACAGCATGTTATGAATAATTGGTTAAAAAAAATATTAGAAAATGATTATGTTATTAAATCATATTTATTAGATAAATGCAAAGAAGTCAACGCTTTAAAGAGTATTGGATTTAAAATGGGAATTGATCTTGCTTTTAATACTCATTTTCATCTTCCATGTGTTGAGAATTATCAATTAAAAATATTAGGAAATGAAGTACTAGATATGAAAGGGATTCACCACGCAGTAATATTCTTAAACTCTATTGAAGATACTAATACTACAAGAATTAACATTAACTTATTTGGAGAAAAATTAAATGGAAAATATCCATT